TGTAGGTAAAAGTGTAAAAACCTAGGTCATTTTCCCCTTTGACATCTCTTTTCCTTGAGGGTGTTTCCTCCTCTAGGAAACTTTGCTCAACTTTTCTACATTTCATGTCTTGCTTGAAATCTTCTTCTGCAAGAACTCAAGAGAATACAAGAGCTGAGAGACACGATGGGACCCCCTGGATTCCTGGGCCACCGTGACATCAACTTGGTGCTGTACCTTGGATCCTTCTCTGGATGACAGGAGTCATCTCTCTGAGGTCCAGACGAGAAGTCTGGTTTTCCTCTGTGCTCACTTCAACTGTTAAAAAAAAAAAACCAAAAATTTAAATGCAATGCAACTTCAAGTTATGCTAAAGCTTTTTTGTTCCTGAATCACAGTAAACGTTGACTTCTTTCCCTCCCCAGTTTTACTTACAATCATACGGAGATGTGTCTGTAAGTGAGACTCAGGATTCTCAAGGGCCAGCAACAGAAACTGATTCTAGCTGCTGTGAGCAGAAGAGGAATTCACTGGGGGATGAAAATGACCAACTTAAGTTATGTGTATGCATGAATATGTCACAGTGAGTCCCACTGTTATGTATATTATGATACATCAATAATTTTTAAGAAAGAACTATTAGAAGTACACCAGGAAGCTCACAGAAGTCGAGGGAGGGCTAGAGAACCTGGGTGTGAGGCTCAGCCAGCGGCAACCAGTCCCCAAACCCTGCCCCAGAGCAGCAGGTGCCACTGTGTGTGCCATCCCAAGGTCAAGGCCACTCTCCCAGCCTCACCCCCTGCTGTGGAGGCTGCTCCTGACAGGCTACCACTAGCACTAAAGGGAGGGGGAGCCCCTCTGCCCTGGTGCCTGCTCATGAGTTCTAGACCCAAGTACAGAGCATCCAGGAAAGGGAGGGATGGCAAGGGAGGCAGGAAGCACTCTCTCTCTGTCACCAAGATTCCCAAGAAGGTGTGATGGGCTGAATTGTGTCGCCGCATATTTGGGTGTTGCATCCCGACTTCCTGGCCCCCAGAATGCCACTAGGTTGGAACAGAGTACTTAAAGAGGTGAGTAAGTCGACACGAGGTGGTTAGGGTGGGCTAACTGGTGTTCCTCCGAGAAGAAGAAATGCACCCAACAGGATGCACACACGAGGGAAGACCTCCAGGACTCAGCCAGAAGGCGCTCTCTGCAAGCAGGAAGAGAGGCCCAGGGTAAAGCTGCTCTGCTGACACCTTGGACTTGGACTCCACCCTCCAGACGAGAGAATGAGTGCCCATTGCCAAAGCCACGCTGGTGTGCCTCTGTGCAGCAGCTCTAGCAGGCCAATGCGGAGGGAGGTCTAGAGCTAGGACATGCAGAGCCCAAGGCAGAAGGCGGATACACCCCGTGCTCTCCCTCCGGCAGCCACTCTTTAGTGCCCCACAGGCCGAGTCAAGATTCGCTGAAGCCATGCTCGGGAGGATGAGGAAGACAGTGTTGGGATTCTCCCTGTGGGTGACCTTGTGTACCCCTTCTGTTCCCCACGGAGAAGCCTGTGGATCCCACTTGCTGAGAGTTTGTAGCTCTGGGGGTTTGTGTTTCCCCAGCTTGCACATCTCTGCTGGGCCTCTTTTCCCTTTCCTTTCCACTGTTGGTACCAGCCTCTTGTGCAGCCATGTGCACAGGAATGGGGACAGAAGACAGGGGGCCTGCAGGGCCCTACCCCTTGCTGTCAGGGACAAGTGATCAGCCAGCTGGCGGGGGGGGGGGGGCATTGTGTGCATCCTGGGGGCAGTTAGGAAAGTCGGGGCAGAATATAGTCCAGTCTTTCTGCTCTGACTTTGGGCTGAGGGCCCCAGAGGGTCCCAAAGCCATAGAAATTCCTGATGAACCACAACCTGGCTACATTTGAGCAGCTGGAAAATCCCTGCCCAGAAGTTCCACTGAGTCCTGTCGCTCCTTCTCTGGAGCAGAAGGAAGGTGGAGCTGGCGGTGGGAGGTGGGATGGAATGGGCACGTGGGTGTCACTCTGGATGCCACCCTGTGTCCACCTCTGTCTTCCTGAGTGCCAGGACCTTGGAGTGGCCTCCCTAGAGTCCCCCATCACACATCTTCCTTGTGTTTGGCTCAAAAGACAAGCGGAAGCTAATCACCTCTGCCTGCACATGCAGGGTGACCCGGAGAGAAGCGTTTGACCGCTCTGGGGCTGTTTCCCTCTCTGTAGACTGGGGTCAATAGCACTGACCTGTCTCAGAGAGCTAGTCCAGGAGCTATCACTGAGAAAACCCGGCATACAAGTCTTGGTTCCCCAAGACTCAGTGGTTCAAGCAGCCTGGGGAGGAAGGGGCCACCTAGAGGATAAGGTGCCCTGTGGCAGCAGCCCAGAGAGCCAGGGCCTCACCTGTTGGCAGGCTGCTCTGAAGGCTCCTCCCTGAGGACCAGGAGCGTGCAGGGAGGGACAGGCCATGAGGGCCATCTGCAGCACTCACGGGGTGGCGACCATGGCCTCTCCCCTGCTGTCTGGCCACCACCCCTCATGGAAGTTGCACACAAACTTGGCCCAGAGTTTATTTTTGTACCGAAGGATGGTCAGACAAAGTGCTGAGTTCTGCGGTCACCGATTGAGGTGACCGCAGCTCCACACAAAGGGCAGCCTGCCCCAGAGCTGTGTGTGTGTTCTTGTGTACACATGGGTGTGTGCATGTGTGTGCGCATGATTGCACATTTACATGTGTGCATGGGGATGTGACTGTTGCTGGCTGCCCAGCTTCAGGTGAGTTCCAAGATCTCCACTTTTACCAAAATCAGAGGCTTCTGTGTGACTGTCACAGCCTTTCTCAGAGCCATCTAAGCTAGCTGCAGGTGACTACTCTAACATTCTACTGAAATACTGTCTATGAAAAAAATTAATTGGATGCAAAATATTAACATCAAGATCAGAATTTTAACATAATATTTGCCAAAGACCTTATAGATTCTTTAAGTAGAATTTCTTTACAATTTCAACTCTTGTACATTTTCGAAAGGTTATAAAAATGGTTTAAGAATTTTGTCACCTATTTGGGTGAATGTTTTACTCAACTTTTTCATTGCTCTGACCAAAATCCTGACAAGAATAACATGGAGGAAGAAAGGTTTATTTGGGGCTCACAGTTTTAGAGGTTCAGTCCATAGACAGCCAACTCCATTGCTCTGGGTCTAAGGTAAGACAGTGCATCATGGGCGAAGGGCCACTGAAGGAAAGGTGCTCAGCTCATGGCGGGGTCAAGAACCAGAAAGAGAGAGGAAGGGGCCTGCAGGGAAGGCACACCCTTCCAGGGCAGCCCCCAGTGACCCCCCAGCCCTCTAGCCACACTTCACCTGCCTGGAGTTATCCTTCAGTCTGTCCATTCACAGCTCACAATCCAATCATCTCACCTCAGAATATTCCTGCACTATCATGGGAGATCTGGGGGGATGCCTCACATGTAACAGTGACCAAATTTTTTATGGTGGACATCAAGAATGGACGCGGTCATCCTTAAAAAGTTCGGTCAGGAATTGTATAGAGCCATTTCAAGTAGAAAATTTCACATTGAAAAGACAAGGTTACGGAAGCAAGCTCAAGTTTCTCATGAAACATTTGGAAGTTTTATACAAAATCAGCATTTAATATCTACCCTGTCCTTCTGCATTTTGCTTTTATCTTAATTATAAAATGTAAATGGCGCATCACGGATTGTTTCAGATGGCACGCTGGGGAGGGATAGTTCACCCCAGCTTTCCCCCTGTGCCTTATCTGCAGTATCATTTTCTTTGAGCTCCAGAATGTGCAAACTGTTGGGAGGCACCAAGCAACAGATGTGAAGAGCTTCCTCGCACATAGCGAGCAGTCCATAATATTAATTATGTCGTTAATGCGTTGCTGTCGTCAATGCTATACAGCTATCCGGGAGAAGGCTCTGAGTGAGCTGTCAGGAGGTGGGAGCTGGAGGCATGCTTCTCTCGTAAACTATCTAATGGCTCTACATGGGTCAGTTTATCTCTTTTATGTCTGCTTAAAATGCAGATCGTACCCCGCGCTCATCCCGCCCGACAGGTGCTGTTATGAGACTCAAAAGGGGACCTCGACGTCAACCATCTCTGAGAAATATCAACTCTTCTGCTGGTCTGTTACTTCTCTTCTTCTAGCTCACTGTTGTCCCACCGCATCTGGGTATTTAAATTCAAACTGATTTACGTGAAATGAGATTGAAAATCTGGTTTCTCGGTCGTGTTAGCCATTCTCATGTGCCCAGAGACACACGTGGGCCATGGCAGCAGCTTGGGCAGCACAGCTTAACAACGCACTGCCCCTCTGTGTGCAGTGGACGCCCCTACCTTGGCTTCCTGCCCCTCTGTGGACTCAGTAGGAAGATTTGACTCCTTTATCTAGTCTTTACCCATAATATGTGTACAATATTTAAAATGCAGAACTCTGCTTGATGGGTTTGCCTGGACTCCCCTCAGCCTCTTGCCCAGGCCCTTGGGTATTTTTAATTAGAGGGAGGGGTTGAAGTGTTCTGAGCAATATCGGAAGGAAAGAAAACTACCAGGGGCAGCCAAGATTAAATCCAGGATTGTGGTTTCCTGGGCGTCACGTTCCCACCATGCTACAGCCGTCTTGATCTTCGGCATGACTAACAGAATCATCGAACTTTTAATTTAAATAACTCTCGTGGACTTTCTGTTCTTTCCTACTGGTTAAATAAACACCATCCGTGACCATCCCATCCCCATCCCTGAGCTCTATGTGTGAATCACGTTTTTTTGTCATAATGACCAAAAGACCTGATAACAATGAGAGGAGGAAAAGTTTATTTGGTTCACGATTTCAGAGGTCTCAGTCCCTAGCTCTGGGTCTAAGGTCAGGCTGAACATGGTGGCAGAAGGACATGGTGGAGGAAAGCCTCTGAGGACGTGGCCATTAAGAAGCAGAGAGCTCAGCTCACCAAACACAAAGTATACCTTGAAGACACGCCCTTAGTGACCTACCTCCCCGGCCATACCCCGTTAATCCTTACCAGGGGATTAAACCACTGATTCGGTTACACCTCTCATAACCTAATCGTTTCACCTCTGAACATTCTTGCATTGTCTCGCACAGGAGCTTTTGGGGGACACCATAGGTCCAAGCCATAACACCCTCCTTGGGCATCTGTTGTCCAAACAATTCCTAAGCACTCCTTTGAGGAAGTTTCTGAAGGCAGTAGGTCTAGCCCGTGAAATGTAAGATTTGCTAGAATCGTTGCTGTTGCTACAGGATGCTGGGAGAAGAAATACAGGACTCCTGTTCTCAGTTGTGGTTCAACCCTATCCGTGCCACTTCCCTGCTTCATCTCAGACATAAGGTTGTGGGCCAGGGTTTCTCTGGGAGGTTGCTTTGAGGGCAATCTTCTCCCTGATCCATTCTGGAACAAAAGAGTGTTTCTTTTGTCTATTGGTTAATATTCAACCAAATCAATTAGGGCAGTTGAAGGAAATCCTGGCTTTCCTCCTTACCTTTGGAAAAGGTTTAAAATACATCGGTAGACTGAACTGCCAGTGACCACGTGTTCACGTTTATTTGCTCAGAGCAGATGCAAAGACTGATTGATATAGCACAGATTACTGTGCAACTGAAAGTTCTCTCTCTGCCCTTTAAAAACCAAACTTAGCAGTATTTGTTATAGACAAAAGTTTAGCACATAGGGCTTTTAATAGCTTACTAGTATCTAAGCATAAAAACTGACCTGGATATATCCTTTAAACATCAAACATACCTGTAGTGAATAGTACCTTTAGAAAAAGCCACTAATCTTCTCTTACCTTACCAATTGACATCTATTAAGTTGATGGGGAGCACAAAAATTTGGACATAAATCCCAGAAGCCATTATCTCATAATACAAAGTTCTGACTCATTGTTTGTCTCTATAATTACTGATTTCAAACAGTCCAGCTTTTAGGGCTGAGGTGTAGCTCAGCAGCAGATCACTTGCCCAGCCTGTGAGAGGCCCTGGGATCAATCTAGCACTGAAAAAAAAAAAACAACTTTAAAAGTCTTGTTCTACTAGTTGTTCAGCCTTAACGTTCCCTTTAATTTCATAATGACCTAGTTTTTCATTTGCCAAATGGGAATGGTCAGAGATGGGGATGTTGCTTAGTGGTAGGGCATGTGCTTTGCATGAACAAGGCCCTGGATTCCATTCCTAGCACCAATAAATAAGTAAACGGGAATAACACTTCTTTCCATAACTGACATGTCTGGGATATTGGATGAGAAAGCGCTGGGCCAAAATTAGAACCCGTGACCCCAGTGCAAGTCAAGCGTCTCCCTGAACTTCTGTGCTTTGCAGTGTCCCCCACTCTTCTTTCCTATTTAACAAAGAGGAATCTACGAAGTGGTTCTTGGGCTGCTTGAAGAGCTCTGAGATTCTCTGGTTCAGCTGAAGAGCTTGGAAGGGCAGCGGTGAGGTGAGGCCTGGTACCTTCTCATTCCTGCAGGCCAAGACTGGCTCTCAGCTTCACCGAACCACTGCCCCTGCCATCCCCACTCCGTGGACTCCTGTGGACAGAGCAGAGGAACATGGGTTTCCATTAGGGCTGTGTGAGCACCTGGCTCTTCAAGGTACACACTGCTGGTAACAAGTATCCCTTGGCAAGAGAGAATGGGAGACAAGTGTGAAGTCTTCTTTCCCCTCTCCTCCCCTCCTCTTCTTGGTGGTGGGTCACGTACTTGGAAGGGGACAATGAG